AAAAAATAATACTCTGTATAAAAATTTCTTTATTAAAAGTACTTTCAGAAAAGTATAATAACATAGTATGGGTTTCACACAAACATAATATAGCTAAAACCATTGTTAAAATTTTATTATCATTAATTAAATTAAAATAAGTCAATTTGGCCCAATTTTGTGGGACAGAGGGCATATAAATTAAATAATTGACCTGCTTCCTCCTCTATCACGACAAAAATATTATTTAAAAAATGTGTTTGAGTATAAAAAGTTTACACAAAAAATTTCCCTTACTCACGTCTGCATTTTTCAGAAACTAAAAAAACTTTAGCTTTTTGTATGGGGTCATAACTATTGTTAAACAATGGGACACTTGTTCCTTCGAATAATTTCAGATATTTAGGTTTCCTTTTCTATTTTTATTGTTTTTTATGAAAATTAATATCTCTTTATGAATTGATTAGTTTTTATGGGATATCTTCATATTTAATATATGTATACTCTTTTGTTTTGTAGCACAATCCGGTATTAAAAATGCGTTGAGTTTTACATTTCTTAATATTCTTTTGCTATCTCGCGGAGAGTTTCAGATCTCGACAAAGCAAAATAAGAAGGGATCGGAGAGAGACTAGAAGTGTAGTATTTTCGACTTAAATTGCTATAAGTTACAATATACATATAATAGCTTATTTATAAGGCTTATAGGGCACATCAAACTCATATCTTTGCATGTAAGCATGTGTTATCATGCGTGTATGTATTTGCTACACCCTTTTCTACCATAGAAAGTTTCTCACTTTTCTGCTACACCCTTTCTACCATAGAAAGTTTCTCACTTTTCTTTTTCGGATGTTCCATATAAAGGTTAACATTTTCATTTTAGGAAATAATTAACAATCTTAAATTACAAATTAATCTTAAATATTAACAATAATATATTTATAACATCACAGTTATCAACACTAATCCCATTATATTATATATATATATATGTATTTATATATATATATATTATAATTAATAATTAATTCTCAAAATATACTTGAACTATCCTATTTAATTATTGTTTAAATAATTGTATCATATTTGCTACCATGTGAATTAACAAATGAAGTAGTTCTACGCTCAGATGTGAGTCTAGATATCTATACAAATGAAGTAGTTCTACGCTCAGATGTGAGTCTAGATATCTTAGAGAGGCCGATTCCAATGGTCGGTTTAAACTGTCATTAGGTTGGTTCTTGGTTTTGTCGTAGCCGAGCCATATATGTGAACAACTAGCCACTTTGGATCGTGTTTGGTGAGGATATTGGAAACCGTTGTTGGACCAATCTAGTGAGCCATGGTGTTAGAGTATTTTATGGTGTCCAATCTTGTATTTTATATTTACCTACTATTGTAAATAGTCTCATCTTACATATCGACTAATAAAGTCTGGGGATGAGATAGACCTATAACCGGGTAAGCGAGAAGACTAAGAGCATCTTTAGAGCATCTTTAACGGGAGGATCAATTCCTCTAAATGCATTGCCACGTTAAAGTTCGAAAAAAAACATCTCTAACGGCAATATGGACTATGGCTGTAGTGATGACTTGGAATGGAAAAAAAGGGATGATGTCTATCCCACCTTCTGGTTTCAGAAAGCCCATCCCATTGCCAACTAAGCAAAAAATAAATTCTACCAATCCTGGAGGTGTACACTCCGTATTTTACTTCCTATGTACTCCACACCGTATACGAAAACAAATAGTAGTAATACTTTGCATATTAATAATGATTAAATTATTATTTTGTTAAGAGAGGGAACAAATGAAACCATTGGAGAAGGAATATCATTTAAATAGTCTATGAGTCCAAATCAGCCCCACGGGCTATTTATATGGATGACATGTCCATTTTTTTAAGGGTGCAATTCACATCCTTATTGGAGATGCTCTTAGTGGTAATATGGATTGCAACCCACAAAAAATGGACACTTAATCTGTATAAACGGCCTATGGAGCTGATATGAACGGATAACCATATACAATCACGTTGCATCTCCAATAGTATCTATTCGTTCCACTAGACCGACATTGTGTGTACAAGTTGTGTAGACCAACAATTGGTATACCCCTAGAACCGCCGTTTCTTCCCAGCCGCCCTCTTCTCCACAGGTGCAGCCGCAGACCACCGCAGTCATGAATTCCCAGGTGCCCATTCAATCGGAGCTGCCTTCATCCAATATCGTCACCAGCATCCTCGGCACCAGCTCTTCGTTCGAGGTCGGTTCAAGCAGCGCACTATCATCCCCTGCCTCATCAATGACTTTTTCAGCACCAATGGATGGTATTACACAGCCGCGGTCACCGCTCGCCCCAACTCTTCGGCAGCGCATTGATTCATATCGATTATTTGGTATGCCGCCTCCGTTTTCCTGGACTCCCACTGCCAGTCTCTCTCCACCACCGGTTCTCAACCCTCCTCCAGAAGCCGGTCCATCCACCATGAGATACGCTGGGCCAACATTCACTCATCAGCAGGATTCACGATCTCAGCCGCGCGCCCAGGTTCTGCCTGTGTCGGATTCTGCACACCTGCCAGGTTCTTTATCTGCTTTGTCTTCTCAATTGGCATTCTCTACGCCCAATGTGACCAATATTGTTACTACACGGCTGTCTGTTGTTGAGGATTATTTACCGTGGAGTACCGAATTTGAGTCATTCTTGGTATCTCACGGCCTTCTTGGGATCCTAGATTGCTCAATTCAGGTACCGCTTGTCACGGATCCGGACTACCACCACTGGTTGAAAATAGACCAGACGGTAAGGTCTTGGATTTTTGCTACTTTGGCTAGGGATATTTTGATGGAGGTCTATGACTTGAAAAATTCTTATCTTATCTGGGAGCGTCTTGAATCGCGTTTTATGTATGCCTGTTTTGCTCGGTCTGTTGAACTTAAGAGGTCCTTGTCACATATTAAAAGGAAAGAGTCACAGACCATTGATCAATATTTGTTGGAAATTAACTTGATTGTTGATGCTCTTGCTATGATTAATTCCCCTGTTAGCAACCGTGATTTGATGGAATATGCTATTTTGGGGTTGGGTCGTGATTATGAACATCTTATCTCGACTATATCTTATTTTCCTGGGAATGCTACACTTGAATCTCTGAGGCCGATCCTTCAAGCACAGGAGAACCGGTCTACTACCAGTCCTTCTCAGGACCAGTCCACTGTCCATCAAGCATTCGTGGCAGGACAAGCAGCCTCAGGCCTGCTCCTCAAGCACAAGGCGGGTACGGTGCAGGTGCACCTCGAGCACATGGCGGTCACGGCAACCGAGGAGGCAGACCTCGGGGTGGCCGTGGTCGGGGCGGACGTGGCCAACATCAGTACTATCAGCAGCCGTTTGAAGGATATCCGGTGTATGGGGTTCCCTACGGGAAGCCGGCTCCTCCATGTGGACCTCCATATTCTGGTGGCACATGTTTTCCGTTTGTTGAGAATTCCTATCTCTCTCCTGCTCCGCCAGTTATCTGTCAGCTTTGCTTCTCTCCAGGTCACTCCACCATCACCTGCTCTCGTTTCACTTCGCAAAATACTCCTGCTCTTGCGGCTCTTCCCAGTGGTGAGACGCATGATTCGGTCTGGTATCCTGATTCTGGGGCTTCCACACACATGACTCCACATGAAGGTATTTTATCTTCTAAATTTACTTATAGTGGCCCGAATCAAGTATGTGTTGCTAATGGTACTAAATTACCTATTTCTAATATTGGTCACGTTAAATTAATCACATCTGGTCGCCCGCTACGTCTCAATTCTGTTTATCATGTCTTATCTCCCCCGGATGATCCTACTTGTTTTACACAGGCAAATAAAAGTTTTATTTGGCGGGATGCCATGTCGGATGAATTTAATGCTTTGATTAATAATAAGACTTGGGATTTGGTACCTTGGGACTCTACTAAAAATGTGGTTGGGTATAAGTGGATTTATAAGACAAAATATTGTTCTGATGGATCTGTTGAGCGGCATAAAGCTCGTTTAGTGTCTCAAGGTTTTAAACAACAGGCTGGTGTTGACTGTACTGAAACGTTTAGTCCTGTTGTTAAGCCTACCACCATTCGTCTTGTTTTATCTATTGCAATTTCTTTGGGCTAGTCTGTTCGTCAATTAGATGTGAAAAATGCTTTTTTGCATGGTGTTTTGACTGAGGAGGTATACATGCGCCAACCTCAAGTCTTTGTTCATCCTTCCTATCCTAATCATGTGTGTCGCCTTTGTAAGGCTCTTTATGGTTTGAAACAAGCCCCCCGGGCTTGGTTTCACCGGTTTAGTGGTTTTTTTATTGAGTCGTGGTTTCACAGAGAGCATGTCTGATTCATCCATGTTTATTTATCGCACTAATTTTTAGGTTGTCTATATTCTTTTATATGTGGATGATATTCTTATTACTGGCTTTTCTACTCCATTTGTTTCCTCTATCATAAATACTCTATCTCATCAGTTTGCAATGAAAGATTTAAGGGATGTCCATTATTTTTTGGGTATTCAGGCTAAGCGTACACCTACAGGTTTATTCTTATCTCAGGCAAAATACATACCTGATCTCTTGCGTCATTTTCATCTTTATACTGTCAAACCTGTTAGTACTCCCCTACCTTCACGCACTACACTTTCTCTCACAGATGGGGAACTATTATCTGATGTTACTGAGTATCGCAGTATGGTAGATGCTCTTCAGTATCTGATAATTACTAGACTTGATATTACTTATGCTGTAAACCTTATGTCTCAGTTTATGCATGCTTCACGTACTACTCACCTTTTTGTCGTTAAGAGAATTTACATGTATTTGCAGGGCACTAGCACTCATGGTTTATGTGGGTAGTAAAGGAAAAATTAGGGAAAACCATACCAAAAGTTACATTTTATAGCATTTCATATTTTGAGTGTTTGAGATAAAAAGTCAAATTAGTCAATATTAATATAGTTTTCCAAATTCATATAGATTTCAATTCGAACCACCGTATCTACTATTTGTTGCTCTTAAAATAGGAAGAGGTGCCTTGGTGGTCATAACGATACCACATACTTCGTATATGCTTATATAAACTCTGGCATGTATGCTTGTTTTATTTTCCCATTATATTCAAAGCTGTTTTATTCGCTTTATTTTTTTCTTAGCAATCTGTGGACGCTCACTAGACTTAACGGAGAATGGAGTATGGCGGCGGCGAAAAGAAAGATATAGCGGTGGCTAACAAGCAAAGCATAAGGTGGGTAGACTTTTGTGTGAGGGTTTTGGCCTTTGCAAACACCTTTGCGGCGGCGTTAGTTCTGGGAGTAGACAAGCAGACTAAGCTTATAGACATACAGATCGTCTCGACACTGCCGCCAGTGAGTGTTCCGGTCACCGCCAATTGGAAATACATGTCTGCCTTCGTGTAAGTATTATCTCTCTTCTAAAAATCGTTCTAGGCGTCCGACTACTCCCCGCCTAGGCGCTAGGCGGTGGTCGGGCGTCCCGATTTTCGTCTAGGTGGTACGACTAATTGGTTAGCCGTCTAGGTGAATTAGTCGGCCGCTTATGGCACCTAGTTGCCCGTCTATAGCGCCTAATCGGCCGCCTAGACCATCTAGATTCGCCGAATATTACTTTACTTTTCAATTTTAATTTTCTAAGCACTATATGTACTTTAACTTTAGGCATAGATATAAAGAAAAGAAGTTGTAAATTAAGATAAACCTATATGTTTGTACATGTACCCAAATTTTATCATTATTTATATTTATAACATAATGAAGTTAAGTGATTAGTTATCATATACTGCATATGATTAAATGTGATAATTCTATCATTCATGTTTGTTAATGTATATGTATATGTTTTTTTGGAATAATATATGTATATGTTTTTATACACACAAACATACAATATTATTTATCACATCTATGCCAAAAATAGATAAAAATGAAATTTATATGTCTCTGACTAGTCCCCGACTAGCCGCCCGCCTAGCCACCTTGGCGCTAGGCGCTGGTCTGGCGCCCGACTAGCGCCTAGCGCGTTTTAGAACATTGGTAAGTATATATACCTTTCCTATCCGAGTATAATATGCCTGCCGGCTAGCTTCTTCTATTATTGAATAGATTTTTTTTATTGAAATAGATTATGCGCTTAAATAGGTGGGTTTTTTCATAAATATTACGAATAAAAAGTCATGAGCAAAAACATTACTTAATAACTATTAGTGACTATAATTGTGTTCAAATTTATATCGTAGTAATTATGTTACTGCGATATAAACTTTGAGTACAATTATAGTCACTAATAGTTACTAAGTAATATATTTGTCCGCACATTTAAATATATCCAATTTAACATATTGGCTCGGATATTCTTTAGAATTACATAATGCTTATATCCTCATAGGTAAACATGTATCAGTAAATCATAGGTTGTGAAAATAAGACGATCATTGTTTCCTAATAAAAACAATATTCATTTGATCCTAGACAAATAATATAATTTAAGACTCTAATAGCTCATAATAGATCCTAATAATAATAACAACCATTTGATAAAAGTTATAGCAAAAAGAGTAAAACACATATTCTAAACAAAAATAAGACTAATTGTTTTAAAATAACACTAATAGTGATTTGATCCATCCCAAAAAAGAGTGAATAATTTATTTTCTAAGAATGAATGAATTATATTTTAAAACAAATTAAATTGACTACCTGAAGTACTTGTTTCATTACATGAGAATTGAGATGAAAGAATATACCGATTACAAATTACTCCAAACTAGCTAGAATATGAGTTATTTTTATAAATATATAGGATGATCCTTGTTTTACATCCGAAATATGATTCATTAGTCCAAAAGGAGAAGAAACTAAATAGAGAAAAAAGTAATCTCAACAATAATAATCTCACCCATAAACAAGGGGAAAAGTAATCTCAACAAAAAAAATCTCACCTATCACCCGTCAGTCTTCCAAATATAATCATATCTAAACGTGATCTAAAAAAAGTATTACTCCGTACCTTTTATTCATATCTTTTTTCGTTGGAACCTAGTTAGTTGATGATTTTTTTTGCTTTTTCTTTGAAAAACATTATATTAAACAATTATCACACCATTAACCGATCTTCTGAAAACGTATTGTATTATCTATCATTTTTCATATTTAATTTTCCCCTGATACTTTCCCCTCTTTGTTTTATCATCTCAACTTTTTTCCTTTTTTATCTTGTTATTTTATTTATTTATTTTCCCTTTTTATTTATTCCCATTCCCCCTATCAAAAAAGCTTTTTTTTGTAGGAATTCCCTACTTTTTGCTTCTATCTTTGCTTCTTTGAGGGTACACTAGAATTTGTACACAACAAGATTAATTATGTTCACACAGATCAAATGAGTGTTCTCATTAAGAACAAAATTGTTGTTGTACAATATGTCAATGTGTATATTATGCATCCGACTAACACTTGCAGACTGTAATTTAAGAATGAGAAAGTTCTCGAAATAGGACTAAAACGGTTTGAAAATTCCAAAATAAGACTGTCATGTTTTTTATTCTCAAAATAGGAGTAATTACTGCCAAGTTTGGAAAATATTGCCATGTTTGAAGTTTGGTACTGCCAAAACATGACAGTAATTAGTCTTATTTTGGGAATAAAAACATGGCAGTCCTATTTTGGAATTTTCAAACCTTTTTAGTCCTATTTAGGATAATATTCGCTTTAAGAATACTAAATACTATGTACAAGTTTATAATAGCTCAACTGTCTTCTATGCATATATGGTTGTACAGTATCTATTAATTTCAACTTTAAAGCTACTATTCAACTTGCTTGCATCCAGAGTGTCCATCCCTCAACTCAACTACATTAGAGTATGTTTCATCCGAAAATGAGAATAAAAAATGGAGGGGTGGGGGAGAACATGTGAAGACATGATCGGACCACGTACACATACATGGTCATTTCTAATTAATGTAATCGAATGTAATTGTTGACCTGTCAAACCTTAATTATAGGCACTTTAATTTGTGCCTTAAGGTTCGTGAAGGTGCATTGCATGTGCATGCATACGCAGCTGTTTCTCTGATCTGTTTTTAATTAACGTAATCGTATGTAATTACGGACCGGTCAAACCTTAATTATACTACTCAGATCATCATTTTTTTGTGTTTAAGGTACTTTGTGGTGGTGAATAGCATTGCATGCGCATACGCAGCTGTTTCTCTGGTCCTAATGCTGGTGGCCAGGGGAGCAAAGAGCAGCCGCATGACTTCATTGTTCCTCATCATATCAGACCTACTAATGATGGGGCTTCTATTTTCCGGCGTCGGAGCCACCGCCGCAGTTGGCCTTTTGGGTTTCACCGGCAACTCTCATCTGCGGTGGAACAAGGTGTGCAATGTATTCGGCAAATTTTGCGCTCAAGTTGGCGGTGCTATATTTGTTTCCTTTGCCGGAGCCACCTTCTTTCTGTTGCTTGTTCTACTTGCTGCCTTAAAACTTCACAGTAATAATAAGCATCATTAGATATATATGTATGTACTCAGCATACAATTAAATGAATTAAATAAGTTGTGATCATTAAAAAAAAGGTTGTAAATTGTGATCACATTTAATGTCGTGTTGTTTGGTACCACATCCGTTCCATTGAAATTGATGAGACATGATGATTTCACATGGCGTCATTTTTAAGAAATATATTAGCCATGAAATGAGCAATCACTAAAACTTCTTCACGTACTTTTTCAATATAATCTTATAAATTTTTCTCAAAATAATACTCCATATTTAATTGATACTCCCTCCGTTCCATAAAATAATTTTTACTTTCTTTTTTGAGTTGTCCCAAAAAATTGTTCCCACTTCCATTTTTGGAAAGTTTTGTATGACTATCATTCCTTTATCTTTTTCTTACTTAACCACAACCATACATCTCTATTTTATTCTCACTTTTTTAAACTTCAATCCAAATCGGAGTGAACACTATTTTATGGGACGGGGGGAATAATATTCAAATTGAAATTATTACACATTTATGACTAAAATAAAGATTGTTTACAAAAATCTTTGGGACGGAGGGAATAATATTCAAATTGAAATTATTACACATTTATGACTAAAATAAAGATTGTTTACAAAAATGTGATTAGTGACTTGAATAGTAATGAAATCATTGTAAATTATTTTTAATGTAAACTTAAGTTACTATGACACCACAATATAGTACGAGTAACTAATAGTCATTTTTATGTAAATACATTTTATTTTAGTTATATTTTTGTAAAAAAACCATTTAAATAATGTATTTAATAAAATAAATAAATAAATAATTTATAACTTCTTCTCGATCCTCCTCCACTCCTCATCCTTCTCCTTTTTGTATTTCTTGAAAATAAGGGTTGGTGGGGTGTCAGGAGGAAGGCACTGATCACCGATTAGGGGTGAATGACCCTACCTATCTCAATGAACGAGTATTGCACCCTCAGCTAGCAGGCAGACAAGGGGATCCATTCTTTCTTGCTCTCATCGACACTATAATTGCTGGCATTGAACTTGTGCAGTAAATTAATGTTGTGATTGGTGCAGCAATGTAGAGCAGTAATGCCGACATAAAGTGAAGTTATTTAACTGAACATAGAATACTAAAGTTATCAAATATAAAAAAAAATTAAAAAGAGCTATAAATTCCTAACGTGGGTGGCCTGGGTAAAGAAGTAATTTAGCAAATAATGCAATGATTCTGACATGGAGTGCAATAATGTTGTGCATGAAATGTAATATATTTAGTTGAACGAAAGTACTCAAGCAATGTAAAATGCACCTTTTTTTAATTAAGTTATTTTCGTCCATCAACATTTTAATATGACAATAATCTTTGTCTTGTTTTTCAGTTGAATGAATGTCTAAAAATAAACATAGTCATATTTAGAGATACTCAATATATTTTTGTCATATCCTAGAAAATTTCCCTAAGAAATAAGGAGTATGAAGATCTACTCTTTTAGGTACATCACAAAGAAAGGATACAAGTAAGATTGAATCATCATCACCATCATCATCACAATTACTAATTACTACACCTCATTGTCTATAAAGATACATTTTATAGAGGTTTGTCACCAATTAGACGACAATATGATGCAGTCTTCAATAGGATGTTTTTACTTAGACTATAATTTGATGGTCTGGTAATGTCTGGTCTCTTTGTATTTTTATAACTATCCACGTTTGGTCTGATTTGTTCTGGTCTGGGACCGATTACAAGTAAAAACATCCTTACTCCGCATAACAAAAACATACAATAACTATCAATTTGATATGATACTAAAAGCATTGACATTTAAGAGTTGGCACCAACTACCAAACGCCACACCGAAAACGGTGTGGCGTTTTTTGTGATTCAGTTTGAGGTCTAAATAATGGCTTACGGTCTAGCGGAGCTTTTAGTTCCGCCTGTTTGTCAGATTTATGACATGAATCACATGATAAAGCCGATTATTAGAAGAAAAAAAAGTTTCTTGCCTTTGCTAGTTCAGTGATCAAGATCTGCAACCTGAAAAGTTTACTAGTAGTCTAGTACCATGTAGTAAAAATGTGAAAATGAGGCAACCATCCAAGTGCAACCATGTAGTGTACTCTTTTATTGTCTATGTAAATGAAAACGAGAATGCACATACATATATTCACTTAGCTGCCCATCTATCTGCTCACTACAATAAAAACATATTGCGACAGGACAGAAAATGGAGAATAAAAGATGGGATGCAAGGATGCATGTACAGAAGAGTACATATATCATGCATTGACTACCTTTTTACCTTCACATACATCACAAGTTACAAATCCAAAACCTTCACAATATGGACACTTTGCTCCTTCGCCCACCCATTCCATAAACTGAGTGAAAAATGATACTATTAAGAATAATATAGAAGTCTTAACTACTACTTAGTAGAAGTCCTAAAAACTTGCATAAAGTTATTTGAATCAATCTGGTACCTGAGGCTCAATATTTGGCTCGCCAGTTCCATAACAGTCTGCACAATGAGAATTTATTCAGTTGAAAAAAGAACAGTGTTTGTAAAAATCCATGTCTTGATTACTTGGTGTGCCAACTGCCAAGCAGTGCGGAATTGTTTACCCAAATGAAAGACAATTATGTCAAACAACAGCTAATGACATCATTCCTCTCAAGCACACCAAGTGTAATGTCGCTTTTGTTGTGTCTCTTCACATGAATTAAGTGTTAACGGCCCTTATCAAAGAATGCATAAATATTCACTATTACAAAGATTGGCAAGACATGATGGAAAATATATTTTACAACAGTGCAATGCAAGTGGCAACAGCTGCTGCGTATTTCAAATACTTCAACAACAAATTAACCCCCTTTCCCCGCTCTCACCTTTTCAGACACACACATACTCCGTATGTGATTTACTATTTCATATAAATTTAAAATAAACAAGACATAAAATGGATATTGCTTATAAAAAGATATTGTAAAAAGAAAAACAAGAACCAAAATGTACCCATGCATATTAAGTGGCCATCACCGTGGCAAGTGAGACACTTTCTTGTTGTCATGTCACTTGAACTCTTGGTTGCAGCTGATTGTGTGTTTCCCTTAAGCCAGCTGGATGGTTCTTCCCACTGGTTCTCTCCAAGTAGGAACACTCTACGCTGGGTCACATCAGTTTCCATGTCCCCTTTGATGACTTTTTGCTCAAATTCTGATATTCCCATTATAGAAGCAATTGGTGCTCCATTTGCACACACCTAAACAATGAAATGGTGACAATAAATAACCATATCTCGAAAACTCAGGATCACGCTTTTGATTCATCTTAGGATGGATTTGTAACCCAATGTGTCTAACACAACTCTTGGGATAACATTTTATTAAATAAAAGATATGGTTTATTAAGTTTGTTTACCTTCACACTGTGTGCTATGTGGGTAGACTTGCATTCAAGGAGTGAACTTCTTTCAGCACTATATAGTAACCTAGGGCCTAGGGGGCATGTGAATAGTAAAAATCTTAAGGTCTATTTACAGCCAAACATGGAATTTGCAGTTTAGTACGTGGTGAGTTTGTTCGAGCTACATAGTATTATATTAGTTGTTCTTATGATTCTTGAGTTTGAGATAATAAAAAAGTTAGATTTCTAGGAATGCTACATTTCTATTCTCTGACCTTTGAAGATTCCAGAACATGTTGCTCTGGATTGCCTTTCAATCTCAAGTTAGAGTTCACAATTTTTTGTTGCACGAATAGCCTCTCAAGAAGTTCTGAAGTCATAATGCCATCTTCTGGGGCTCCAAATGAGGCCTGAAGCATCAGAAAAATGAAAACATCAAAATCAACATTGTAGTTACCTTCTATGCTAATAGGAATTCATAAGAATTCTTAATTTCACCATTTGAGTAAGTTTTATTGCATAAATAAGAAGCTAAAATCTCACCTGCCACGTTTTTACAGCATGCTCTGTTCCAGTAGAAAAAGTAGAGTACTCCATTTCCTCCTCACCACAGTAAAATCCCAGCTTTAGCAGTGCCTCCTACTTAAACAAATTATGACAAAATCAGATGAGTGATTAGGGGTTTATGATTAACACAAAGATAAAGAAGCTAGAAGCACACTTCTATTCAAATAAAAAGTTATGCACGAAAAACACCAATAACATTACTCATTTAACTTCCGTGAATACAAACTAATATTGCATCCAGATGTGATCATGTGACTCTTTCTTAGTCACAATCGACAAAATGGATTCTCAGAAATAATGACATACAAACTATTGTCTTTGGTGAGCAGAATACACAACACATCAGTGTTCTGATTTTCTGATGTCTTGCCTCTCTTCTCTTCTCATTAATGTGCACATTATTCTCTCGTTACATGATTGTATAAGCACAGCATAGTATAACATTAACATCCCAATTTTTTAGTTCAACTGGCTTGAACCTAGGAATAAAATCTCTTTCGACATCACCACGAGAGTTCGACTTATGGGAGGAGAACTGGAGGTTTACCAGCTTATAACTTCAGGATCCGCGGGATTATTCAGGCCAAAGGTCCAGTCACCCGTGTAACCAACAAAACAACAACAACAACATTACCCCAGTGCCTCAAAGGCTCCCACCATCCGTGGGGTAGGGGGGTTCGGATGTATGCATCCTTACCCCAGCTTTAAAGCAGGGAGAAACTGTTTCCGGATGCCGCAAAGGCTCCTACCAATGGTAGTCATGAAACAATTAACAATGATATTAAAATATTAATTGAAGATACAAAACTGATTGGACAGTAGACCTGCATGAGACGAACATCATCTCCTTCAGATCCCTTCCTCAAAATTTCCCTCTTCGCTTCTATGGCCTCTTCCTCCACGTCTTTAACAGTTTCCTTTACAACAACTTCCTCGTTTTCCTTTGCTGCCTCCGTGACCAACGGCATTGCTTCGGCGGTATTTAAATTGGTTGCCGACCCCTCATCATTCACTTCCTACACAAAACCAGATGTGTCACACAAAAAACTCCAAGCGGGTAAGGTTAATCAGATATATGAACTTTCAAGAAAAAATCGCGGTGAGTATTAAGAAATCAGAAGATAGTAATAGCTTCAGATTCTCATAACTTAAATACATAGGTAATGGCCAAAGTAAGGGGTCAGATTACCCTGCCTTACCCCGTACTAAAACACATAAAGCGAAATTTAGTAGGCAATTTTGCTTTATCCATCAAAATGGAACTTATATGGATGATAATTTAATTAATTATGCAAAACAATTAGCAGAACAGTGAAGCACGAAGGCTAATCCCTAACTTCCAACAACTGGACTTCATGAGGTGTCATGCTGGAGACCGAAGCTTCCGGCAATGAACTCCAACTTTTGAGCTCCTGAATTTGATGCTGCAGGATCTGAACTTCTCTCAAGAGAGCTTCTCGCTCTGCATTCTGAATTTGATGCTGCAGGATCTGAACTTCTCTCAAGAGAGCTTCTCGCTCTGCATTCCACCGGATCTCTTCTCGAAGCCACCGCTGCTCCTCCCTGAGCCACCGCTGCTCCTCCCGGAGCCACCGTGCCTCCTCTCTCTGCTCGAAGCCACCACTGCCTTCTATTTTAGAGGAAGATAACGCGAAGCAAATGTGATATTTTGAGAGAGTTTGAAGGGAAGGTATGAAAGGAAACGAAACTAATGTCGTTGAGTATGATGAAGAAGATTGGGGGCTCTGGTTTACTGGAGTGTTGCAACTGAAGTTCACTGGTAATGAAATCGCCATGGATTAGAATATAATTGAGAGAGACAACCGGGTATAGATGGAGTTTCAAGATTTCTTTTTCTTTGCGCAGAATTTCAGTTGATGGCGGTTAGAACTTGGTAGTTGGGAAGTGCGGTTGTGGCGGGGAGTGCTCGAATTGTAGGATGGTGAAGTTCCGGATAATGTAGAATTGTTTTGGGAGTCTCTTCGGCACATATGTGCTTACACCGAATAGTCAGATCAGATGTAAAATATTGAGAAAATCATATGGGTGGCTCTTCGGTACACCAATGTTGGGGGATGTACTGGTGCATCCTCCATGTGTCTACAAATCATTGGCTATAATATCCACGTGAGCCATATTATTAAAAAAATTAAAAATTGCATATTGGTCCCTAGGTTACAAAGAAATTAATGTAGGCCTCACTCTCTATTCCCCTTTCTGGAAGTCTGGAGTGATCGTCCGGTCGTCCCCCATCGGCCATGGCCATTTCTTTTGGTCTTCCCCAAGCATGCCAAGATCAGGAATTCAATCGAAATCTCGGACTGTCCGTGTATTCAACGTCGGAACTAGGTTATAACCAGGGCTAGATGGAACCGGGAAGTGATCGCTCAATCCAATATCACCTCTTTCACGAATAAAACTTCGAGCAGATAAGTTTACTTTTTTTGTGTGTTTATCTGTTTCTCCATATGAAATATTTTCATCTTAAACCAATCGTTGATCTAATTTTTTAGACAGAAAAGTTCTTTTTCCACTAATTGTTTGGTAACGATTGTAACATCGATGCCATAGCCATGAAATTTTTTAGGATGTCGAAATTTCTGCTCTTGATTCATGCACATTGAGCTTCTTGTTTACTTTGTTGGTCATGGCTTACTAGGCTTTTGCATTAAATTTCATATTTCAAGATCACATCTATCTGTGGGTGCTAATATGATGAACTGACAAGAGTATTCTTCATAGGTTATGGTGATGAATATATGCTTTGCTTGTCAAAATAGGTGGATCTTTTGCTGGTATAGTCATTGTATGAAATGATTATCTTTTTTGAACAAATTTAGATAAGATTAACAATCAAAGGAAATGCTCCCACTGAAAAAACACACTCAAAGCCACAATCTTTCTTTCTTTTGCCCACATGTAATTCTTCCTTTGGTTAAGTTTTTTTGCTGAGAAAGATCACATCATTTGATTATTAAGGTTGATTGTTTCCAGATGTGAGTTGATTTATGTGACTTGACATGGAGAAAGAAAAAGCATGTTACCGAGTCCCTGTATAAGGGAAGATAAATTTGAAGTCATGCGTGTTGAAAACCTCAACGCTTCAGCTGTTAATCTTGGAACAGAGTAATAAAATAAAATATTTTATTTAGTATTACTGAGTCAAACTGTTGCATCTTCATAGTGTTTCTCTTGTAATTATTTCTTTAGTTGTTGGAGTTGACAATATCTCTTGTAAATAGGGTTGTGTTTTCATTATTGACAATATCTTTCTTTTCATCAAAGCGGGATCAGGCTGATCAGCCGCTTAATAGCTAGTTGTTAAATAGCCGAAGGGAAAACGAACTATCAGATTGTGGTGCTATTTTGCTAAATTCAATGGAGAATTATAGCTTTCATATTTGGAATACACATTGCTAATCACTAACTTATTTATGGGGCTATTACTTAACTTTTAGAGTTGCATAAATACAGTAGAGTTCCTATTAGAGTATTAATAATAAGGCACCGGGCCTATTAGAGTATTAATAATAAATGTATTAGTAAAGTATAAATAGAATAAGTTGGGGGCAGGTAAAGGAGGCTTTTGGACTTTAGGTCTGGGACTGGGAAAGTTAGAGATTATCCGTCTCTTTTGGGGGCTTCGGCCTGGTTACTGTTCATCTTCTTAATAAAGTTCAGTTTGATTTTCTTGTTAATCATCTGTAATTGTTATGGATTTGTGGTGGAATCTATCAGTACACCTTACATACAAGTAAAAATCAAGGATGGGGAAGCTAAAGTCTTCAGCCCTGAGGAAATCAGTGCAGTGATTCTGACAATGATAAAGGAGACAGTTGAAGCATTCCTTGGAAATGGTAGTTGTTTATTCTCACCCGGTAAGTGGCAACTCTTGGAAACGTAGTTTAGTGGGCTGTTTTACACATGCCTGCTACATTTTGGCATAATAATGGAGATCATGCTTACATCAACTTTATTGATTTCTTGCAGCATACTTCAATGATGCTCAAAGGCAGGCTACCAAAGATGCAGGTATTATTGCCGGACTTTATGAAGTTATGACTTCATGAGTGTATATCCATATGAAAAGCAAGTTTCATTGTTTCGTCATGTTGTTTACTCATCTTCCATATGTATGTGAATGTAGGTTTGTCTCGTAGAAAGTTATGGTCTTATGGATCATCGGTATAGTAGGCCTTGTGAATTTGTGAGCAGATTCAAATAAAACTTTCAAACTAAGTTGCAAATATAATACCATATCAAGACCTGTAGGCCAAAATGTTTGCTAAAAATTGAAGTCCTTGGACTGAGATTTCACATTTACACATTATATGACAAATGTTTAGTCCATATATCAATCAGCTTAAGTTTTTTGTTGAGAAATATCACATCATTTGATTCTTAGTTTCAAGGATATAATACTTGGTATTTTTGGAACTGCTTAAGTCATGTATTCTGATCCATACATTCTTCTAATTTTTTCCTTTTCCTTTTCTAATTTGGACTTCATAGGAAAAACCGGTTCACTACTTCACTCATTCATTGTGCTTTCAACATAATAATATAATTTAGGTTAAATCAATCCAGAAAAGCTTAATCGGAATAAAAAACATTGAAGGTTCAAATCCAGATATTAGGTTTCTATCTACTGCAATGAAATAAACTACTTAATTTCTGAAAAAACACCAAATCCTAGGCTAAACTTGAACAAGCTTCTTCCTGTTTGACACAAGTTCCATCCAATTCTTGGAAGCTTTTTGAACAACTTCATCCCTCAATTCATTATAGGAACCCAAAACTAGATCAAGGGCCAAACGCATTCTCGTTTCAGGTGTGACCTATGAATATGAAATGATGTTAGTAACGAACACAAGTTAGCCAAATATTATACGTAGCATTACAAAGATTGAAAGAAAAAAAACAATAAAGTGACTTACAGAAACATTGCTATAATTGTTGGTCCAAATGCATTCCGACATCCATTGAGCTACCCAAACACCACAATCGTTCCTAAGTTTACAGAATTAAGATCAGCCATGTAATTTTGAAAGAAAGATCTTACAGTAAACAAAAAAATAAAATATGTATTCATTTCTTACGATCCATTCAATTGCCGACCAATTCCTTCTGGTACAGTCAAGGCATAATCTGATATTAATAGCCTTTCATCGTCGGAGGAGTCATAAAATGAAGAGTCTGTCAAAATTTCTTCTAGATATACTGCCTGCCACAGAACTCAAATGTTAATCCAAATTGATTATAATTGTAATTATATAATTTTTGCACAATTCTGACCAGTTTTTTAACATCCAGCCTTGTACTGAGCCTTCTAGAAGGAGATGGCAGCGAGTCCAACACATTAAGTGTTTTAGAATTTATGTCAACCACAAGGAGGTACCAATGAATATTGTCATCATTAATAGGAATAAATATCTGTAGTGAAAAATACAAATGGTTATACTCTAATTGTTAAACTGGAGTGATATGTAATCATGTCATACAAAGTACGAACCTTTCGCAAATCACATGCTTTCCCCATGAATCTCTCTTGATAGATTCGACGTATTTTTTGAACTAGTTCTGGCCGTTCTCCCCTTTTCAACACATATTGCTACGATTCATAATTACAGACTATTAGTTAACTACTGAACTCATAATCATAAAAATCTATGGAAATAACAACAAGCGGTAGTGGCTTTACTGAAAAATAGGTAGGTAAGAACCAAGCTGACACAATTGCTGAAAACTTTTTTTGATTGAAGGTCAGTTTGCAAACAAGTAGGTTAAGCACCTGCAAAATGAAGGTCACAGATAAGTATTTGAAAGACATACGTGGAAAGTGTTGAATTGTAAATTCTAACCTCTTGATCAACAAATCTTTGATTATGGAGACTTAAAAGTGTCTTCCTCACTCCAACATCCAAGAATGTGCTAATCAACTTCTCTTCACTAAGCAACCAAATACATGATGTCAGGAATTCAGATTTAACACTGCAATTGAGTGTTAGATATTGATTTTTTTTGTCATACAAACCTAAATGATGGTTGTACATTGGTTGTTTGAAAAGTGTAGATAATGATAGCAGCCTCAATCTGGTTAAGATTCATGCTTTTTGTAGGTCTAAAAGATATAGGCATCCACTGAAATTTAAAGATATAAATTGGTTAGCATTATTAATATAGTGTGTATGCATACAAATATACAATAAAATTTGATTTGTTGATGTACTTACGTCTGGTATTTCAATTCCATAGGTTAGACTTTCATGTTTTGCAATTGAAATTGGCTGGTAAGTGACTATATGTTTTGAGGTACCCGCATAATCATAGTCTGTAAAAACTATGTTTCGTTGATACTGCTCACTGTGCTCTTTACCAGATACTTTCTTTCGCGATAATGTCTGAATTGAAGAACCCATGTCCGCTTTACCTTTTTCTGTTTTAGTGAATGCCTGCGGGTTTTTTGGTTTGCTTAACATTGCATTGTTAAACACAAACTTTCTTAACTCACTCATTTCTTCTTTCAAGTCTTTGAACTCTTTGAGAAGCTCCTTCATCATTTGTGGTGGGCACTCGGGATGATAGTTCTCTTCTACGTAGTATTTTGGAGGAGAAACATGCTCCTCTTCATCTTGAATTGCATCAGCAGCATTGGTATTACTTTCTTTTGAACTGAAATTTATGTTAATAATAATGTCAATCATCCATACGATTAATAACAATAGTCAAGTGAAACACAATGCTTTGTCCAGTTTGGTGTATCATATGATCCTAGCTTTTTGACACTCCTAAGCGCATTCTGACAGTGAATCATGGAAAGAGGAAGTGGAGTTGTTCTATATTAATATTGCCAGCCTACCATAACTACCAATAGGTTTAATAGGTATTTTCTTTTATGGTTCATATTCTGGATTGGGTTCATCCCTGTAGTAATCGGATCAATTAAGTTCGAGATATAAAAGCAGAAGAACTCACCGTGATTTGTGAATAATCACGTTGAGTTCTTTATACTATTTTATTCACAAAATAAAATAAAAAAACTTTGGATGGTTATTTTATATAAATCTCAGTGATTTATTTAGAATACCTGGTATGTATTCCCATATGGACCGGATAGATTGATATTTTCATTTGAGTACTTTAAGTACTAAAAGTACAAAGAATAAACTGCCTAGCTGCTATAAAGAATACAAAAAGCTCTGGCAGAAATCAATAAACACAACCTAAGGGTCTGGACCTTGATGTTATTAGGTTGGGTTCTTTGGAGCTATTTTGGTTGTTACCTTTAAGTGCTTGTTTGTTTACATGAAAAGGAATAATACCTGAAATTTTCTAAACATACGTTGATTGTTTTTTAGGTTACTATTGGGGCTTGTTTTCGGTGTCTGATAAGTCCGTATTTAGACACGCATTTGATGTATGTTGGGATTGGATTTTGATGGTTTTCCTGGCTTTAAGGTGTTGCAAGTCTCAATTTTAGCTCAAGTTATGTTTATCGGGCGTTGGTTCGAGTTTTGTGTTGTTTGTAGTCAAAATCAGGGAATTTGAGTTCGGCACCGGCACTTGAGGAACAATCGGGATGATTTGAGAAGCATTTGAGAATGATTTGATAGCTTTGGAGGTCACCGGAAGATTCAGGATGAAGATTTGAAGGAAAAAGGCTCTAGGATTGGCTACGGGGTCAAAAGAAGATGAATGAAGCTTGAAAACGACGATCAGGATGACCTTCTGTCAATCGGGCAAGCATATCTCTTTGTAGAAGCATCCAATGAACACGATTCAAAGTCCACATGAAAGCCAATTTCAAGATCTACAAATCATATGAAGACATCATTTCTAGAATCTGAGAGGAAGAAGATGAAAACAGACGATGAAGTCAGATGATCTCTGCTGCGATCTCAGAATGACACCTTCCACCGTTTTGATCATATCTCTTGATTGGATGATTCAAATCACATTCGGCAAATTGGGTTGGATAGAAGACTTCATCATCTACAACTTTCATGAAGAAAGTTTTGTCAAATTCCGAAGTTTTACGCACGCCGTGCGTCCGGGTACGCACGCCGGGCGTCCAAGGCGTTAAATTGAAGGGAGCTACTGGCAGCAACGCACGGCCGTGCGTCCGGGTACGCACGCCGTGCGTTCAAGGCGATAAAACGATGAGAAGCTACTGGCAGCAACGCACGGACGTGCGTAGGGGAACGCACGCCGTGCGTTGCCTATTTTTACACGGACGTCCGTCGGACGCACGGACGCAACGCACGCCGTGCGTAGGCTCTGTGCGTACCGCGGATCTGTCCTTTTTCGACCCAAACTCATTGTTTTCTATAAATTAAGCCTCCCTAACCCCGTTTTGAGGTTCGGAAACCTAGAGAGAAGATTAGGGACGTGTTTTACAGTATTTTTCCGCTATTTTGTTCAAGACCCTGAGATTCTTTGTAAGTTTCAATTCTTTAATTAATGACAATTAATTCTATTCATCCCAATTCTTTTGATTCGTCAATTATGAGGCGTGAGTAGTTTAATTAGGGATTTGGGGTTGATGAAGGGGTTAATCATGATGTATGGCTAGATTCCTGTCGGTTTAATTGCATGAATGCCGTTTAATTTGTGTTTGAATAATTTAATTGATATCTCTTGTAACCTAGACTGCAGCTAGAATTACAATTGCATGTAGAATGAATTAAGAGAGATCTAATTTGTTCTAGGACACATTCACACACACTTAATCGTTCGCTAAGAGATTAGTAGCGATTAAGGGGTCGTAAGCTCGCTCGTCTTGGCAATAATTTAGGATCCTGTCGCATGAGAGATCAGCCTGGTCCCCTAAATTATTGTACTCTACGCCGCGAGAGCGGTAAGAACTTAGTAATGATTAGCTAGGCTCAATTAAGTTAAATTCATGTGATTAGGCCTGTTCTGCCAGAAATCTGGTTAACCCCGGAATCAATTCCTGATCCCTTCGTCGTTAATTAAGGAAAACCAAATCTTTTTATTCGCTCATTAGCATTAGTTTTAGTTTGATCAATCCATCAATCTCGCACAATTGCACTTTTATTTTATTTATTTCTTTTTAATCGCTAAAATTTAGTTAATCTTTAATTCCCTTTTGTCCGTCCCTGTGGAGACGATACTCGTACTTTACACCACTTTTCTACAACCATTTTAAGTGCGAGAAAACTCACATCAGTGTCAGACAAGCAGGATTCAACAACAATTGTGGTTGAGAGTTGGGATACTATCAGCCAAGAAAGGAAGCGTATGGACAGCAGGATTCACGAAGGTTCAAATCTCTCGCTGACTAAAAACAAAGCGGACTGGACGAAACATATTTGCCTAGTGGATTTGTAGAATATGAAATTTACTTGTTATATTCATGTGTGCGTGTATATGCATATTAAGTAGTGGGTGAGTTCAATACCTTGATAGGACGACAATTTCTTACACTATTTTTGTTCTCTTGGAAGTTGTGTTGTTGTCATCAGATAGAGGCTCCCTTTTGGGTACTTTGAGTTCCCACGTTCCTGGTATTCCTTCCTTGTTTGTCATGATTTTGATAGAAGGAAGCACTGCTGAACGTTGTTTTGACGATTCTGCCGATTTATCGTTGAGATCAAAAGCAGCGCCTTTATAATGCTTAGTGAAACCTATCAGAACTTATATCCTAGCAAGAATTAGACTTCTATTCACGTAAATGAAATCTTCCATTGATAGACTTCTAATACATGTGGTATGGGTATTCCTAGTTGTATTACGTTACTAAGCATGTACGTTGGTAAAGCTTCTCAATCATATGATGGTAAGTTTAGGGTTCTTTAGATATTTGTAATTTAACAATTACAATCAACTTTCCTACTAACATTTTGTAATTTGAAGGTGTTAATTGGTAATCTTAATTAATAAATACTTGATTTTTTAAAAAAATTGGAAATGGAGCTTCCTTTCTCAAAAATTGGCTTTAGGGTTGTAATTGAATTGAATCGAGTCGAATAATGTGATTTTGTATTTGGTTAACTTTTTCGAATATGAGTCCGAATTCGAATATGAAAGGAATAGTCTTTTCGATTTGTTAAACAATACGAATAGTTAATGGATCATATACGAATAGCGAATTGATTTGATCATAAGTTAAATATTAGTCAAATATCACTTTAAAATAACTTTTCATATATTTCTTATGCTATAAATACATGCTTTGACTAAATGTGTTTTTAGAATTTAATTTGTAACATTACATTTTTCTTTAAAATTTAATGGATCGGTGCATTTTTAAGTTATGCAAAATATACGGAAGTGAATCAATTTTATGATTTCTATACATAAATATATCTCAAAGTTTTTTAAATAAAAACTAACACACATATTAGTAATTATACCTATAATGTGTGAAATAAATTGATAATTGTATATACCATGTCAAACGACTCTAATTCTATATTAGATATTTAATCCTTAAGGACACTCTAGAACTTAGGCACAAGAACTAGAAACAAACTAGTGAGTATATGGATTGTTTTTCTTTAATTTTGAGTACCAAAGTGGTGAAGATATTTTCAACATAAAGTTAATATTTTCAAATTTTAATTGCGCGACCGCTCCCCTTGGACTTTCAAATTTTTTCATCATATGTAATATTTTCATATAAGGTTCATACTTTAAATAAATATATAAGTTTGCGCCTCTTAACTTTTAGTTTTCAAAATTAATATATAGTCTTATATAAGTTAATACTTAATTCAAGATTTAGAAGAAGAAAACATCTAAAATAATTTACATTACTTAAACATATAAGCAATAGAACAACAATTGTTTAAGACCCAATTATGATATTATTATATAAAAATTCCTAGTTTTGTAATGTTTAATTTATTTTATTATATAATTAGTAATCAATTTTTTAATATATCCAACTATATTAAATACCATACACACTAGTGAAACAGTTTGTAAACATGTGAAGTAAATCTAGAGATGGCAATTTCGGCCGACCCGTTGGATACCCGCACCGAACCGATTTGGTCAAATCGGGGATAACCGGTTTGACTGGAGAATGGGTACGGAGTGGGGAATACCCGAATTTTTTAAATGGTTAATGGTGCGGTTATGGTTCTATACTAATCCGCCCCGTTATCCGCCCCGAAACCGCCCCGATCCGTTACCCGATCCATAACATTATTAATGAATTATAACTTTTTATATATAAGAATAATAAGTATATATGCTAAATTGTGTATAATAAGTATATACAGAGTATCATATAAATAATGCTAAAAAGTAAACTATGAGTACTTTTTTA